AAATAACAAATCTGTGACATAATAGCTAAAAAGCATAGGCCACCATTTGCTAGCTGAACCCTGATGGACAACAAGCAAAGCACATCGCCACAGTCTCTCCCAGCTAAGTGGCACACCAGCTCATCCTAAATGGTAAACCAGGCCACAAAGCAAAGTGCAGAATGAAACAAGTCAAGCAGGAACTTTGCTTGCTCCTTGGAGACAGCAAAGTCCACAATGAGCAGTTCAACACTGAGGAGCTGACAATAGTCATGAAAACCCTGAAATGTAGAAAGAGAGCTGGACTCGATGGTATAGCTAATGAACTATTATTACTACATGCACCTCAGGACGAGAGTACAGAAATGGCTGCTTCACTTTAACTCTTGGATGGAGATAATGCATATACACAGGGTGTGGAGACAGGCCAAAGTGGTTGCACTACTTAAACTACATAAAGACCCTAGCTCTGCAAAGAGTTACCTCCCAATATCCTTACTCTGCTCAACCTACAAGCTATAGGGGCTGATGATGATGGGTAGAATAGCACCAATAGTGGAAGGGTAACTGACTGAAGACTAAGCCAGTTTCTACCCAGGACGTTCATGCTGCGGCCAAGTGGCAAACCTAATTCAATACTTCTAAAATGGCTTCAAAATCTGCAAAATTACAGGGGCTGTGTTTGTTGAGCTATCACCTGCTTATGACACTGGAACCGTTATGCACTTCTGCTGAATTGGCAAGAATTCTGAGAAATAACAAGATAGTATAGTCATCTCTTCCTTACTCTCGAACTGATGTTCTTGTCAAGATGGATGGCAGAAAAGTCGATGGTGTACTCAACGGAATGGATTGCCCCAAGGTTCAGTGCTATCATTCTTGCTGTTAAATGTCTACACAAATGACCAGCTAGAATTTCCCAACATGCAAAGATTTACTTATGCAGATGATCTTTGTATCGCTACCCAAATGGAAAGATTTGAGGACACTGAACTCATTCTAACTGCCTCCACTGAAAAATACTATTGCACATGGTTCTTGAATGCCAACCCTAGCAAGACACAATTGTGCACCTTTCACCCGAAACACCATCAAGCCGAACAAAAACTCCAGATATTGTGGGACGGTACAATCCTTGAGCACTATGAACATCCGGTGTATCTTGGGGTCACATTAGACCAGTGGTTCTCAACCTATTTACCATTGTGGCCACATATGGAGCTCTCTCTGTGTTATGTGGGCTGCATTCACACAATATATATACTCCCTATATCGCCCTGAGGTTGTCACATGGGCTGCAGTTGTGTGCTGATTGGGCTGCAAGCAGCCCATGGGCTGAGAACCACTGCCTTAGACCAAATGCTGACATTCAAAGAGCACATCAAGAAAAAGAAAGTGAACTCCGAAATTGTATTCTCCAGAAACTAGCCAACATAAAATGGGGAGCTGATCACAACACACTCCGAGCAATCTGTTTCACCCTGTGTTACTCAAATGCAGAGTACTGTGCCCCAGTCTAGTTACACTCAAACCATGTACACCAAATTGATACTCAACTCAATTAATCCTGTAGGATTAACACAGCAACTTTGAAACCAACTCCCACACTGTCGCTATACTATCTTGCAGGGACTGCACCACCATCTGTGAAGTGGGATGCCTTCAATAAAAAGGATCATGCACCTGGTTGTCTCCCCGAGACATATACTGCATGGACACATTCCACCATGCAAGAGGCTGAAGTCCAGAAAGAGCTTTGCCTCTCAAAGTCCCTTACTTCAAAATACTACTGTGGAAGGCTACAGTGTAACAAAATGGCAGGAAATGCCGATGATCTTGGAGAATCTGGTTTCTTCAGAACAACTCCCCCAGGCACTGGCCTCAAATGACAATACTGATGTGCTCTAAATGAAGAGAGAGCTAGAGTGGCAAAGACTGGTGATAATGTGACCAAGTGGAAGCTGAAGAATGAACCCAAATGTGATTGTTGAGAGCCTAGGCAAACACATCCTGTACTCCTGAGGAACTATTAAAGGTAAGTGACAACACCAGGTCTTGCCTGCAATTTTGGATGGACAAGCTATGATGATGAACTCAAACAGAAATGGTTTCTTATTCCACCTTTCTGAAAACCCTAACTTCTGTTTAAACTCCTGTACTGACCTCTGTGACATTCTATACCTTGGGGGAGCACCCGGTAACCCTCATATTCCTCATTTATATATAATTGTGATAAAGCAGGCCATGTGAGGTATCAGGAGAAAGGTTATGATCTGCTGAAAGTCACTGTTCTATCGAAATATGCATATCATTAATGCATATGAAGTTATAAGAATTGTGTTGTATGGTTGTCACTAAAATATGCTGTGGGTTTGGGAAGCGCCCAAATACTAGCTCTCCAGATACAATGCCAAGGAAAGTAACTAACGTCCGGGCGGGTGTCAAACCACCATTAACAGCCATTGTCCAGCAAGGGAGCTACAATTCAATGACTCACCTGCATAAGGCCACACCAGGGGAATTGCTCAACCTTGCCTAGGGACTCAGTAATGCCCACCAGACATGGACTAAGGCCAAGGGTATAAAACAGAACACAGGCCCAGCATGTGGCCACTTTCTCCTGCCCCCACCTATGCTGCAAGCAACAAAGACACTCAGAAGACTGAAGACCCCAACAGAGGGGACTGGCCCAGTTTAAGGGACAAACCTGTACATTAAGAACTGCAATATCCAGTGGGGTGAGAAAAACTGCTTAATCTAGATGTTGCCCAGTGTAATAGGCTGCACCCCGGGGATCCCGTCACAACCTCACACAGCATCTCAGGGTGCAGGAGCTTGTTCCTTACCTTTTAACTGGTGATGGTACTAAACTTTGCCTGTCAGTACTCCAGTCACATAACCCTGCTGCTCTTGTTTAGTGATTTTCCTCCAGCTATTGCACAGAAGAGGTGAACTGCAAAAATTAAAATATATAAAAAATAATAACTTTGCTATACCATCTAGTCCAGTAGCTTTCAACCTTTCCAGACTACTACACCTTTCAGGAGTCTGATTTGTCTTGAGTACCCCCAAGTTTCACCTCAATTAAAAACTACTTGCTTACAAAATCAGACATAAAAATACAAAAGTGTCGCAGAACACTGTTACTAAAAAATTGCTTACTTTCTCATTTTTACCAGATAATTATAAATCAACTGGAATATAAATATTATATTTACATTTTAATGTATAGTATATAGAGCAGTATAAGCAAGTCATTGTATGAAATTTTAGTTTATACTGACTTCACTAGTGCTTTTTATGTAAGCCTGTTGTAAAACTAGGCAAATATCTAGACGAGTTGATGTACCCGCTGAAAGACCTCTGCGTACCCCCAGGACTACATGTACCCCTGGTTGAGAACCACTGATCTAGTCCACCCTCCTCCTCCCAGTGCAGGATTATCTCCAGGCTTGGAAACTTTACCAGACTCCTACTGCCCAGAGATCAAAAGATGAGTGAGGTCAGAGGGCAACAGTCTGGTGAAATGCCAGCCCATGGGTGGCACATGAACCTCCTGCTGGGGGGAGGCCAATCCCCCCGACCCCCCTTCTGCCTAAGACCCTGCCCATCCTCCACCCTTTCCGCCCCCTCTCCTCCGCTGGAGCACCAGGCAGGCGGCCTCAGCACCGGAATGCTGGGCAGAAGTGAGCACCGGCCACAGCTGCCCCAAGTCCCAGCTGCAGGCCTGCCAGCCCCAGCGCGGGCCATGGGGGAAGAGCGGGAATTGGAAACAGGCAGGAGGCGGTCTGGGGGTGGAGTGTGGGCGGGACCATGCTGGGTTGCTTGGGGAGGCCCTGGTCTGTGTGATACGGGCCACCCATACCAGCCTGCTTCAGTTTGTGGAATTTCTTCTGGAGCTTTGTTCTTAAGACTCAGGACCGGCTCTAGGCACCAGCAAACCAAGCATGTGCTTGCGGTGGCACAATTCCAGGGGTGGCATACCAGTCATTTTTTTTTTGCTTGGGCAGTTGCACTCTCGGAGCTTGGGGAGGCAAATTTTTTGCTTGGGGTGGCAAAAAACCTAGAGCCGGCCCTGCTTAGACTCCACTCAGAGGCTCCATCTTTTATATCAGGCAGTGAGTCAGAAAAACATGAAGCCTTCTCTCTCACCATCTGTATCTGGCTTCTTTCTTTGAAGCTTCCACAGCAAAGCCTCCTGGTTTTTGTAGGAAGGGAGGATTCCATCACAGCCTCCTGCCTGCTGGAGGACATGGGGGTGTTTCCACTACTCCAACCTCATACTTTGTTTTGTTAAATTCCCTTCTCCTGTAATAGTTACAGCTGCTTCCCAAGCAGCAGCAGAATGAAAATGGGATTATTTTTGGCAGGCTCACTGCTGCCAATAAGGTTATGAAGAGCGGTTGTGAAACTGACTGAGGTTGTGTTAATTTTACTCAGATACAGTGTGGCAAAGCCCTGAGCAGCAGCAGAGGCACTGGTACCATCTGGCTGCAGACTCAGGAAAAGAGAACAGGTTTACGCCTTGGCAACCATAATGGGTAAAAACATGGCCTTTCTCGAGGGGGTGCCATGCTGGAGGGGAGGGTTCCCCACGATGCCCGCCCATGTGCCCCACGGGAGGGGAGGGATCCCCCCCGGGCCCCACTGGAGGGGGGTCCCCAGGATGCCCCCCCAGTGCCCCACTGGCGGAGGGGGGGGGTTGCCCAGGATGCCCCCTCCGTGGCCGCCGGGGAGGAAGGAGGCCTCCCACAGCTGCCCCAGGGTCTCACCCAGTTCAGCCGGTGTCGGCTGCTCCCTCAACCGTTTCCTCGGCTATCGACTCGTTCTTCCTGGGCCCGAGCGGAACGGCCCGGCTCCCCAGGGGTGGGCAACTGCGACTTCGGAGCCAGACCGGAGCAGTAGATTCGCCGATAGCATCGATGGGGGCGGTAACGGCTCTTCTTGGCAGGCGGAGGGAGGTTTGAAATGGCCGGAAGCGCTCGGGCTGCTCCGCGCCCCGGAGTGGCCGGGGCAGGCGGCTCCTTCCGGCCAGGTGATGAGGGCGGAGATGGCGACCAAGCAGCTGGCCCGGTGCGGACCATAGAGGCTGCACTGGGGGAGGGGGGCAATGGAGTGGGGAGGCGTGTAGAGAAACGGGGGACGAGGAAGGCGCCGGGGACGGAATGGAGGGCGGTTGGGGGAGGCATGGAGGGGGGTTGAGGGGTGCAGGGCAGGGGTGCTGAGAGCCATTGAACCAAACTGTAAACCCTGTGTATGATGGAAGCCAGGGGGTGCGGCAGCCCCGCCCAGCACCTGTGTGTGAAGGGAAATGAGCGGGACTATGTGTGGAGGGGTGTGGATAGGTAAGGGGGCAGAGAGGGGTCCTCTTTATTGAGCCCAATTTTTAAACGCTTCTGTTTGAGAAGCTCATTATGATTCGTGCCATGGTTTGATTGGGGCAAATTGTTCCGTATGCCGATTAGACTGTAACTGAAAATGGTACATTCACCACTATGACTTCATTGTTTTGTGTCCCCAAAGCTGTTAACAAAATAACATAAAACAAAATCATGTAAACAATGCAAGATGTTATATTCTTGGTAACTGAGCTAAACCACTAATACCCCCTGTCAGCCTGCCACCTGGAAGCGGGCGGGGAGGGGGGTGAGTGTGAGGAAATAAATGTAGTAACAATGTACAGCTAAGATTACAATGGAAATGCATTCTTGAGACTGTCCTAAAGATTTTTGGGATGCAGCCAACATAGAGATTAATTGAAGCTGCCATTACAGTTAGTTTTTGTGGTTTTGGTTTGCAAATGTACCCAGAAGCTTAAGTAAACGGGTGCATGTTTTTGTTACTCTAATACATACATTTTGGTGTACCTTGACAGGGAGAGAAATCCCAAGGAGATCAGCCCTTAAAAGAAAAACTCTTTGTACTCCAATGTGATTAGAGATTCCAGTCCCACCAACTGATGGATAGTTCATCAGTTGAAACAGTTCATCTTGTACGTTGTTGGGTTCAATTGTAATAGCTAATTTATTCATGATTCTCTTTGTTTTTAAGGCAACTTGGATTAATTAGAAAAAGTTCCATAACTTCCTCAAATGGCAAGAATCAGACTAGAACAAAGTCAAGTAAGTGGTATGTTTCCTTCTTAATGTAAATCTTTTAATTTTATAAACAGTGATACAGATTTACAAGGTGCTTTTGTGTGTTGCAGGGCAGTCGTTTGACTATTTAATTATTATTGACTTTGAGTCTACATGTTGGAAAGATGGTAAACGTCATTACAGCCAGGAAATAAGTAAGTGGAAATGTAATAATGTCTGATAGCAGTTGTATCTAAAAAAAGTTTGGCTTATTTAGTTAAAAGTAAAATAGGAATAATTTAAGTGCAGAGTTTTTCTTTTAAAAGGAAAACAGGAAAGAAGTGTCATTATTCACTTTATGAAGTGTCAGAAACTGTATATCCAAACTATCAGCCTTTTGCAACTTGAAATATAGATTATTAAATGTCATGCTATATCATGTAATGCTATATATATATATATAGCCAGTTGCATTAAAATTAGATAGGGCCATCAATTGCACTGATATTAGTTTGCAAATTAAATAATTTAATCTTATGTTTCTATAAGTAAGCGTTCTTTGATATAATAGTTTAATTTAACACTCTGCTAGAATACACTTTGTTTGCTCTGAAATAACATTCGTGCTCTGATATATTGAAATAAGTATTATTCAGAATTGTATATATTATGATACATACGAAATGGAGAAATTTTCCATTAATATAAAATCACTATCTGGGGGCACATTCTGCCTTATGTATGGTATCTACGTTTGCTTAACAGTCATGTAATTTAAATCCTAATATAAAGCAACTTGAATCATTTATACAAATAACCTTTTTTTAAATCTAGTTGAATTTCCAGCAGTTTTGTTAAACACTTCAACTGGAGAGATTGAATCTGAATTCCACATGTACGTCCAGCCTGAGGAACATCCAATTCTTTCTGAATTTTGTACTGAACTAACTGGCATAAAGCAGGTAAAGTCTTTATACTATACATTACAGGAGGCTTATAATTTAGTTAAAAAATTTTAGGATCTTAATTTTGGAAACACTCCTGTTTACAGCTGTGCAGAAAGATATTTTTTCTGACAGTCTAAAAGTGCATATATTGTTTAAACATGAGATGAGCACACTAACAGATGTTTATATGTGCCTTTTGTTCTATCCTATCAAGAATCAAGTTGATGAAGGGGTTCCTCTTAATATTTGCTTATCACAATTTTCTAAGTGGATTCAAAAGATACAAAAGGAGAAGAAAATTATTTTCAATTCAGATGTTTCAAGCCATTCTGTTTCTGAAGCTAAATCAAGTACCTTTGTTACTTGGTCAGGTAAAGAACAGTTTTTCTTTGTTTGTTTTTTTTGCTCGAATTTAGTGTTCATAAAAGTGAAACACTGATGGTGTGGGTTAGACTCTGGCATAGTATAGGCAGGTGTAAATGCAAACTTTTGTACCACAGCTCTGCAGTGTGTCACAGTCCTAACTTCAGGCCTCAGTCCTACATCATCCCTGCTGTCTCTATACAGTCTCTGGGAGCATATATTTCTGATCTGTACCCCGTTGTTGTGTGTCTATGATGACAATATATATTGGGACTAGACCAAAAAAATACATTTAATTTGTGATTATTTATCCTGAGATGCTCCCTGTGTCTTTGTTTCCAGGCTCTGAGGTTCATTCCACATTTCCTTTGCTTTATAGTCACCATGGCATGTCACCATACTTCTAGGTTAAGACAACTGGCTGGGAGGTTCTTCAGAACCTATCCAACATGATTCTTTAATCAGGTCATTGTGAAGTGACATACTTCACTTGTTTTCTCTGATGCCAAGTTGCAGCAATCCTAATACTTTGGACTAAAAACAAGACTACAGATTAACAATTTAGTTTGTATTTCTTTCATGGGACTGCTGGACACTACTAACAGGCCAGTGTTCTGTCCTATTTACATATGATTTAAGCCAACTTTGAAGCGAGTTCTCGACAGATATATTTAGTGTAGGGGTAGGCAAACTACGGCCTGGGAGCAGGGTTGGGGGCCGCTCCACATGGCTCCCGGAAGCAGCAGCATGGCCCCCTCTCCGGCTCCTATGTGTAGGGGCAGCCAGGGGACTCCGCTCTGCATGCTGCTCCCGCCCCAAGTGCCACCCCCGCAGCTCCCATTGGCCGGGAACCGCGGCCAATCGGAGCTGCAGGGGCAGTGCCTGCGGATGGGGCAGCATGCAGAGCCGCCTGGCTGCGCCTCCACGTAGGAGCCAGAGAAGGGACATGACGCTGCTTCCGGGAGCCGCTTGAGGTAAGCGCTGCCTGGAGCCAGTATCCCTGAGCTTCCCCCTGCACACCAATCCCCTGCACTCCAACCCCCTGCCCCAGCCCTGATACCCCTCCCACCCTCCGAACCCCTCGGTCCCAGCCTGGAGCACCCTCCTACACCCCAAACTCCTCATCCCCAGCCTCATCCCACAGCCCGGAGCCCCGTCCCGCTCCCTGAACTCCTCATTTCTGGACCCACCCCAGAGCCCACACTCCCAACCAGAGCCCTCGCCCCCTCCTGTACCCCAACCCCAATTTTGTGAACATTCATGGCCCTCCATACAATTTCTATTCCCAGATGTGGCTCTTGGGCCAAAAAGGTTGCTCACCCTTGATTTAGTGCCTTCAATTACTTGGCCAATCAGTTCCCCGTATAAGGAAAGCGAAGCATTCTGCCTGCAGTGGTTATTTTGTAAACCATTGTGGTTAGTTTATTTTGCTGATCTATTAAGTGTTTTTATCAAATTCTAGTTTATTCAGATTTGATCAATACACATACTTAGTAATCATGAAAATAAAGACTGAAAAGTTTGTTGTTTTTCTCTCGTGCAGACTGGGATCTGGGGGTTTGTTTGCAGTATGAGTGCAAAAGGAAGCAGCTGCGAAAACCTGATATTTTAAACTCTTGGATTGATCTCAGAGCAACATACAAGGTGAGAGAATCAATAGATTATATGGGTAAAAATGTTTCACCTCCACCTCAAAGGATTAAGAATAGATAGTGAAGGTACAAGTAACTAGGGTTACCTATTTGTTCCTTGTATGCATGCGCACACATTTTATTGATCAATAGAAAAGAACAATGTATCCTTCAGAACTATACACATTTTAATTCTAGAAAGCTTGATTTTACAGATAAAATCTGTATCACTTGTTATACTGTCAGTAGGCCTATGAGAAATTTTCCAGCTGTTTTGACTTTCCTGCCATCTCTTGCTCTTCCTGCTTTCTTCCCTTTCTGGTCTGTCATGCTTCCATTACTGCTTTCCCTCCTTGGCTAAAACACAGTAAGCTTCCTCTGCTTAGATAGCACTTCTGAATTTAGCACAAGAATTGGGGTTTTCCCAGTTAGTGCATTCTAAATAGCACGACTGGTATTGTAAAAATGAATGACGATAAAATACTCTTGACTGGTCTAAAATTATTTGAAGAGAGTCACTTTTCATTTACCATAGCAAAATGCATATTCTGTGTTTCTCAGCAAACAAGAAATATTAGGTGTTTCTTGGAATACTTTCTCTGTGTTCCATTTAAAAGGAATTTACACCACATACTACAATTTAAATGAACAGACTGATGCAATTTATAGTTGTATTCCCAATAGGCTATTCAGTTACTTCTGTCTTAGATGCAAACTGTACATATTTAACTGAAGAATTTGACAGGGTAAGGCAGCAACAGTGAATTGGTTAATATAGTATAACATTTTAGAAATGTTTTTCTTTTTCTTAGCTCTTCTACACTAGAAAGCCAAAAGGACTAAATGGTGCTTTACAGGATCTGGGGATAGAATTTGCAGGACGGGAACATTCTGGTGAGTACAACATGACAATTCTTGTTAGAGAATCTGTTTCATGAAGCTGATCAAAATACAGCAATTATAACCCTAATTATTTCCATGTTATGTAATGTTCTGCATTACAAAAAAAAAAATCTGAATAAGAGGGACTGGATGATTCAGGACACTGGGCTTTTCATTTCTAAGATCTGAGTCTGCAAGGTCTCCAGGCACAGAACTTTCACTGAAGTCAATCGTAGTGCTTTGTGTATAGGACTTGTAAGATTGGGCTCTAAGTTACTAGTGCAAAAAAGGACCAAAAGTTGGTGCCATCTGGTAGCAGTTAATACACATCACAAAAACTATTAGCATTGTTTGATGATCATGATAAATGAAGAGATCCCCAAAGATTTGAATAATCATGGAAGTTTCCACCCACACAGATTGTAACTCTCATAGTGTCATGTAGAGGAGCTTGAACTGCTACAGCCCATCCTGTACCTGTACTGTGGATGAATATTTTTCATTGTTGTCTGTATCCCTTTTAACAAGCACTACATTCTCTTAACTCTCCCCTAAGTAAGTCATTAGGCTACTTATCATTACTATTGCCAGTAGTACATTAAAATAACAGAGTTTATGATAACATGTCTTCTGAAGGGTTGGATGATTCTCGGAATACTGCCCGTCTTGCTTGGAGGATGATCTGTGATGGATGTGTGATGAAAATTACTAAATCTTTGGATAAGGTTAGTGACTTCTTCATATCTTCCTTTCTTCTTGCCTCAAGTCCCACAGTGCAGACAAAAGGTGAGTTCACTGAAAAAACAAAACAAACACTTTAAACTTGAATTTGAGTTAAAGCATCCTTCGCAGACTCTCTAATTTGTCTCATACATTGATTTCTAAAACCTGTTGACATCCAATTTTCAAAATCTTGGATTTGCTTATGGAATCCCTAGGTACATCCAAAGAAGAATTCAGTGTCCAGATCTTTGAATATGAACCCCACTGAAGAGAATCCACTGGGAAGTGATGATGGTGCTGAAACTTCAGCTAAAGATAGAATTTGCAACAGCAGTTGTCTAGCTGAGAATGAACATAATAAAATTGATAAAATGGTTATAAACTCCAATGTAAAGGGAAAAGACCAGCAAGAGTCCAGTTCTACAAGTTCCTCTGCAAATGTCCATGTTGGATCTAGAATCAGTACAAAGATTGATGGATGTGGTCAAACCCAAAGCTGCTTACCTCCACATATTGGCAGACTTCCTGTTCCCTTTGGACAACTACAGGCTTCTCATTGTAATTTACTGACGGGCATCCAGAATGGATTAAATAATGGACATCTTATTTCTACTTCCAAGTATAGCTCTTCAGTACTTGGTTCAGGGCTAGTGCTTGTCTCCACTACTATTTCCTCTGTTAATATCTCTAATGTAGATATAAGTACTAGTTCTGATTGTTTATCTATGTTGGCTGATTGGGAAGATGTAGCTTTAATACCAGAATCACAGCATGAAGAAAATACAGACTCTGTGAAGCTTAAAGATGACCCAGATGCAAAGACTTCATCAGTCTCTGGAGAAGGGATGGTTTTGAAAAAACCAGCTATGAAGAATTCAGACTTTGAATGTTTGGGGCAAAGTAATGAACATTTGGAGGCTTCTAAGTCTATTGTGTACAAAAGTCCTAATACTACTATCTATGATGTAGGATTAGCCCAAAGGCAAGCCTTAAATTGTTCTGCTTTTAAGTTACCATCTGCGAAGGTAAATGCTACTTTATCAAGTACAGTATTAACTGGAAATCATTCCACCCCTTTCTCTCAGACTCCTAAGAGGAAACCATCTAGTCCGAAAACTTTACCTCCATCAAAAAAACAGTCATTCACTGTACATGAAGATGAAGCTGCATCTTCTGATCAGCCCCTATCTTTGAGAAATTCAAGTTCATACAAAGTGCCTACTGTTCTCTTAAACTCCACAGTCCGCCTGAACCAATCTTTAAAAGCTGTAAAAAGTGACAAACTGACTCCACCCTTATGTAACTGTGGTCGAAGGGCTAAAAGACTAAATGTGTCCAGTGCTGGTCCAAATCATGGCAAAGTATTCTACAGTTGTCCTGTTGAAAAACATGAAGGGAAGAAGAGAGGCTGTGGATATTTCAAGTGGGAGCATGTACTTCTAAAGGAAAAATCCACTAATGCTATTTCTACTCTTTCCCCCACTGCAGCTGGTTTAATATCTCCTGGAATAAACTCAGATTCTTCAGGAAATTCTCACAGGAAATATCCGGGTCTCAGACCTTCTATGAGAACTTGAATGTTAATTAATTTTTGTCCAAATCTTAACATATGCTAAGTGTTCACTCATACTACGAAAAAAATTAAGCAAATGATGCCACAGATTTCAATTTTATGAGGATTGGGCATAAGCGACATTGCTGGGCTTACTTCAGATCAAAATGGAACTCGTGAAGCATAAGTGGAGACAGTCAGACATTAATAACTTGAGAAAATTTGAGGAGGTTAGCGTGACTAACATGAAAGTATAAGCAGCTGGTATCTCAAGTTTTAATATTTTTATTCTCTTATCAGGTATTTTAGATTTTTTTTACCAGCCCAATCCTTAAATATTAGTGTTAGTGATACAAATTTTGTTTATGTGACTACATTTTCCTAAAAATACATCTGTATATAAATAACTCTTTACAATGTATGCATATATCTTTAACTCTTTCTGTCTAAGAAATGATTCTTGAAGCAGTAATGATGGTTTTAAAATTATTTTATATAGTCTTTATTACTGAAATGAAATAAAGGTAAACGTAAATTCCTGTGACATTTTGAGTAAATAAACTTAAAAGTACCATAGCAAAAATGTTAACCCTTCAGTTGATGTAACATTTATTTTTCTATCAGTCTATCTCTATTCTCACACCATGCTCATTACACAGTGTCTGGGACAGTCAAATGTTATGTCAAGGCAGATATTTAGATACCTGTACTTTACTTAATAACAGAGACTACCTTGTAAATCCACCCACTTTCACTAAATGAATACTTAAATTCCAGGATTATCATAAGTGAAAACTCAATTTTGGGAAGATTTTCCTACCCTAAAAGGAAATTTTAGGGAAAATATTTTTATATATCAGTTCCAACCACTGCTTACTGTGAACATAAATATGAATGCTGAGAAGCAAAAGCATAGTCATTGACTTGAAAATTTATGCGTAAACCCTAGATTACCAATTTACCAGGTTTATGGGTGCATTAAAAATGTATGATAGAAAGAGAAACGGTTGTAGTAGAAAGGATTAACCAAAAAATATCTGAGAGCTGTGAACCAGGAGTATGCAAGCAGTGAGTACAGATGCTTATTGCATGTGTATTATTTAAAACTAACAGATACGGAAAACTGCTTATGCAGGTTAATCGTCTTTACAAATTTTTGTTTTAATAAATATATTAACACTTAAACTGAGGAAAGCCTTGCAACTTCTGTGCCCAGAACACAGGAGGAACTGAATGCAGGCAAGTACACTCAAATTTGTTTGCTCCAGGAGCTTGGACATGAACGCTGTTGAATAACTGAGCTGGAAGAGCATCTTGGATATTGAAATGCACAAGAACACACAAACTTTGCTATTAAATTCTTATATCCAGCCACTACCACAGATAGTAATTTTTAAACAGGAGTAGGATTTAGGCCAGACATGCAATCATGGATCCTGGTATCATTCTGTCAGAACTTAACAACATGTTTAGTGACCTGGCCTGGAAATGTGGACTATCTTGAATAGCAAGTTTCAGTGTTTAATAAGCACTTTGAGTTGGAAGATGCTATAGAAATAAAAAGTGGTGGTTTTGTTTGCATGTCTATTTCCCAGCAGGCTTTTCTAGTTAATAGCTACTTCATAGTAGTGCTAAGGTTTGAGTTTTGGAAACATGGGTTTGGGGCTTACTACTATGTACACTGTTTTCCTGTGTGCTTTTATAACTAGACAACTGGAGTGAGAATAATAAAACTAAGTGTTTTTAACTGAGACAAAGTGCTTTTAGGCTTTTTATGCCTAGAACAAATGGGAAAGAATGCTCACCAAGGATCTAACCCTGCATTGCTTGCATAGCCAAAATTTTCACTACAGTCAGTGAAGTTTTAGTTGTGCATACAATGCTCTAAATTTGTAATATGTATAATAGGTCAAGAGAACAAAAAATTGCACCATATATCAGCAATATATAATATTTTTGGAAGAACAAATGATGGAAAATAAACACTAGATAATTCTAAGCTTTTCCCCACTCCTGCTTGCGCAATTCATTTCTTCTGATCTTCCCACTGACTGTCTTTGGCAACTGGTGAACAAACTCCACCTATTGGAAAAGAGAAGAAATTACAACTAATACAATATATAGTAAGAGGTAGATAATCTGCTCCACGTGTGTACAATATTTGCTCTCTTGTACAGACATGGAAGACATTAAATCGATCCAGTTATGGAAAAGGAAGACATTTTCCATGAGACCTATTGTAAGGAGTTTACATGGATAAAAGTATCAGCAACAGAAAGTTTAGCAAAGGAAAAATATTCTTTTTGGATAAATAATAGATTATTTTTGGATTATTAAAAATCTTTGACTTATCTTTTAAAAATCTGTTGTAGGCCCATCACTATGAGAAATAAACTGAAGTTTATGATGTACTGAAACTTTAATGTCAAACTCTTAAAGATTATGTTCCTCAGTTTCTCAATGTCATATTCTTTATGCTGGAAACATTTTGCTAGATGGTTCTCCACCATAATAAAATGTACAGTTTGCATAAAATTTTGAAGAAATTCCAAAACTGGATTAACCTGAGGGTGATCTGTGGTTGAGGAGTCTGTATTATGACAGATCACGCAATGCCACCACCCAGGAGTCTTTGCAAATCTATGTTGGCTTTCAGTGTTCTGCCCCTTCCATGCAACAGAAATGCTAAAGGATGAGCCTTATGCACCCTGCAGGAAAAGTAAGATTCGTTCAGTGCAAACATCAAAATACATGGATGTGGGCTAAATGGATTAGAGCAGGGGTAGGCAACCTATGGCACGCGTGCCGAAGGCGGCACGCGAGCTGATTTTCAGTGGCACTCACACTGCCTGGGTCCTGGCCACCGGTCTGGGGGGCTCTGCATTTTAATTCAATTTTAAATGAAGCTTCTTAAACATTTTAAACACCTTATTTACTTTACATACAACAATAGTTTAATTATATATTATAGACTTCTAGAAAGAGACCTTCTAAAAACGTTAAAATGTATGACTGGCACACGAATAGGGTGACCAGACGTCCCGATTTTATCGGGACTGTCCCGATATTTGCTTGTTTGTCCCGCGTCCTGACCGATGTTCGGTCGGGACGCGGGACAAACAAGCAATTTTGCCCTCCACTCCGGCTCACAGGTGGAGCCCGGAGGGGCTCTCACCCCACCCCCGACTCTGCCCCCTCCTTCCTCCATTGGATCCCTCCCCAAATCCCCAGCCCCACCCCCTCCTTCCCCCATTGGATCCCTCCCCAAATCCCCGCCCTGGCCCCGCCTCTTCCCCCAACCACGTGGTATTTCTCCTTCCTCCCAGGCTTGCACACGGGCCGGGAGTGCAGTGCGGAGGCTGCTCCTGCCCTGCAGCCCCCCGGGCAGCGCGGTGGGTCCGGGGGCAGCGCGGGACGGGCAGGGCCCGGAGACACGCGTGGGAAGGACACGCTCCTGCCGGGAGGGGCCAGGTCCGGCTGCCTGGTTTGCCCCCTGCCTGGGTGGGTCCCCAAGCTTTCCGTGGCTGGAGAGGGGCTGCGGGGGCGAGTGTCCCAGGTGGGGCAGAGCGGAGCAGCCTCTGCTGCGGGGCCGGGGCGACGGAGCCCGGGAGCGGCTGAGCCGGGAGCTGCAGGAGGGGCCCGGAGCGCGGCTTGGCTGCACAACTCGGAGCCCAGGCTGGGCCCGGGAGCGAGGGGATGGGGGAGCTGGGGGTGTATCGGGGGTCGGAGCTGAGAGTTGGGTGGAGACGGGGCTGTGCCACTGCCGCCTGGCCGGGGGGGGGGGGACACGAGCTTTTTTTTTTTTTTTTGCCTCCCCCCTCCCCCGCATTCCGATATTTCATCTTTGTCATCTGGTCACCCTACATGCGAAACTTTAAATCAGAGTGAATAAATGAAGACTCGGCACACCACTTCTGAAAGGTTGCCGACCCCTGGATCAGAGGATTAATATGAATGGCAAATATTCCCCCAGAGCCTATTATAGACACTCTAGAGTCTGCAGCACAGGGTTTCTCTGCACTATTTCTATACCATAGGATCAAATTTAGCATTGCTATAAATTCTTTAATATAAAGTGGAGATAGGTAGAGCTATGAAATTCAAACAAACATATTTGCTGTTGACCTGCTATTAAATGTAGCAGAGAGGGCAAAGAGCGAGGATTTCTATTTCAAATATCCATTGGCCCTTACAGTAGAGCTAAAATGAAATCCTGTGAGTCTGGAGAAGACAAAAGGATAATTTTAAGAGAACCTATTTAAGATAGGAATCCATTCTCAGGCAACACTGGAACCACAGCTCCCAAGTAAGTGTATATTTTTTTCCAGATTGTGTGTCCTACTGCTCTCAATTCCCCTTTTCTCCTATCCATTTTTCTGGATTTCTATACTATCCTTGTCACTCTGGTATATGAACATCTACAAAGGGTATATCATATGTTTGCTAAAAATAAACATTGAAAATGGGAGATGTTAGAATAATTATATTTACTCACCTGTCCTCTGTTAGATTCTTATGATTAATCATGGCAGAATTTGATTTGTGATTTTTATCATTTTGATATATCAATGCTTAGTTTTAAGCATTTTTTCAATGTTTATCAATTTCAGTTTTCACAGGGCAGAAGAGTATCGATTTTAAACTTTTTAGTTTTATTTTTACATTTTTCACAGCTGTGGGAAATTATGGGGGGGTTGGACAATATTTAATGACAGTAGATGTTGAGATTCAAAAAGTTAAAGCTTTATAACTGTTAAAAACAAACTGTCAACACCACATGTCAAAATATACAAAGTAAATATGCTTAAATCAAACTTGTTCTCAAGCAGCATTTTTCTTTCTTTGCCGGTCTTTAAATTTAGATTATTTTCAATGGAAATGTTTTTTGTTTGGTTTATGTATACGGTAAAATCAATGTTTACTGACATTTACTGATAGAAATCTAAACCCGTCAAGCCTGCTTATGATTTGTATGGAGGAGGGGGGGTATAATAAAGCTTTTGTACATGGAAGTTCTCTTATGCCACTTGTTGACTAAATGTAATGTAATTGTCTAAAACACTTATGGTTAAGCACCTACCTTTCTAGGATACTTGTATGGAGCAGTGACCTTTTTAACGTGGTCCTGTAGCTCTTCAATCAGTTTTTCTGGCTCATGTGAAACATAGTCAGATGCCAAAACAACAAAGGCTTTCACCACCTTAAAAGATTAAATGTTGATGAAACCAAAATGCACATAATACAGTACAAGGTCTTAATGTTTAACAAAATTCACTTGCTGACACATTACAAAGTAACTAATTTACAGTGCAGGTACAAAAAACTTTACCAAGGTGAATGCCCCATTAACAATTTGAGTCCAGCAGCTGCTTATATGTGTAATATGCAGGAAGTGGAGTAAATTGCAGCCATCCTTATCTTTAATTTGCAATTTCAACCTATAGGGACTACAAGTCCCAGTATGAAAAACTATATAAGCAATATGGCTGCTCAAATGAAGATATGGCATGTTGGAATGTGGGGCTTCTGTGGGCTGCACCTCTATATTCATTGTAGCGAAGATTGCAGTTACTTTGCAATGCAGCGATGGCCCCACTTCAGCCACCCCTATGTCTAGATGAACATTAAGAATTTGCTGAGGGCTTTGATGTGAATGGAACGTTTCAACAATTGTTTGGAGTAGCCAGCTGCCTCAGGATTCTGTTTAAGGCTTTTTTAAAAATACATATTTCTGTAAAAAATCCAAGCACATAAGATATCTTAAGTCCTTTACCTCTCCTCTGATGGGATCTGGGCTGCTGACAACAGCTGATTCTACTACTGCTGGGTGCTCTATCAGTGCACTTTCTACTTCAAATGGTCCAATACGATATCTTTAAAATGAAGAAAAGTCTTTTATTGTTATATACTGTAGTGACTCGGTGTGGCTCCCCTCCTGCCCAGAGGAGGGAGCACGGGTGCAGACACCAGAGTGGGCGGAGCCACCGCCACCGGTCCCCGCCCCCCGGAAGTCAAGGGGCGGGACAGGAAGTATAAAGCCTGGCCGCCAGAGCTCAGTCAGGGCCCGGCCACCGCCGGGAGCAGACGTGCGGCCGAGAGCTCCCGACCAGGATACCTCTGAGGCCCGAGGATATTCGCCTAGCTGGCCGGAGCTGCCCCGGGCTCACTACGAGGAAGAGCCGCCGGAGCCCGTCCGTTCCCGTCATTGGGGGGAGCCCTTGGAACCCCCCCACAGCGACCCCGAAGGTGAGACCGCACCAGAACCCCTTCAGCCCTGCTGTTACCCGGAGGAACCGCCCAAGTACAACTGGCCGGACTTCCCGACGGAGCTGCCGGACCTGCCACCAAGCCCCGGCCGGGAGGAGCCTATGCTGGTGGACTGGACCCTGCCCGGTGCCGCGGACGAGGTAGGCCCTGAGGGGGAAATTGGAAGTAGCCCGGGGGTAGCCGACCCCGGTCAGGCTGTCGAGGCATGCGAACCCATGTCAGTGTGTTTCGGTCAGGATACCCCACTGACCGGCAGCGGCAGTAACCGCTGTTAGGGCCCCGGGCTGGAACGCAGTGGAGTGGGTGGGCCTGCGTTCCCCCCTGCCACCCCCACACACGGGTGGCAGGCTTCCCCCTCACCCAACGCTCTGGTCTCGCCGCCAGGGCTTAACCCGAATGAGTGTTGCTCAGCCCCTGTGCAAGGGGGCCTGAGCTCCCTAACTGTGTAGCGGCTCCGCCCCTGCTTCCAAGGGCCTGAGCAGTGTCGGTGTGTGCCCCGCCCTGAGCCAGGGCCTGGGCCTTCCCTAGTTGAACTGCTATTTACCCAGCCCCCTGCACCAGAGGGCCTGGGTTGTTGAACTGTTTATTGCCCCGG